TATAACTCGAATCAAATCAAATTGAAAGATTTTATAAAATAAATTTGACTCGACTCGACTCAAAAAAAGAGAGTCGAATAGAGTTGATCTTTAAACTCAACTCAACTCGACTCATTCAGAACTCTAACTAAATGTTTAAAAAGTGCTTTCATCTGAAAAAATTGTATGAGACCAATCATCTTGGTTATACCTTAAAGTTCACTAGAGACATGTTTCAATATGATTTTGTTTAAGAAGAGGAACAGTTCATGGCCTACAAATCACATAATTAAGTTTATTTTTAAGGATATATTGGATAGTCTGAGTTGATATATTAAGGTCTGAATAAATATTATTCAGTTTTATTGTCATTAAAGATAAAGATATTGCATTATTAACTTAGACGAGATGACTAAGATATCAACGTTTGTTGAGAATAAGAATAAGAAGATGATCAGGACAAGGTAAGTACTTAACATCTCCAGTTTTTTTTAACCAGTTGACAATATCATATACAGTAGAACTTGAATAACCAGTTATTTTAATTATTTCAGAGGATTTTCATATATTTTTAACCTATAATTCCTTTATAGTCAAATGTCTTATTTCAAAAACTGAAATGGGCACTATGGATTAAGTTTTTTATTGATAAATAATCATATAAAATTTTTGTGATGTTATTTTTATATCTATAAATAGCTAAAAAATTGTTATTTTGATTTTTGTTTTGGTCAGACATAAATTGGTAATATAGGGACTTTTTTATGCTACTGATAAAATTTCGGATATTTATGTCGCAGAATGTACCTTGAATATTAAAGACTGCAACGCCTATTAGAGCAAGTACAATACTATTTTCTTGTAGCCTATCCCGGATAATGCTTATTAGATAAGATTTTTTAGTTCTAGCAATATCATAATAATAATTCGCAAAGATTCTACAGATTCATTTGAAGTTAAAGCAATATAATGTTTTTCAATTCTTTCAAATATTATCCTTTGTTTATTATTTAGGGTTTCACAATCAATATTTGCTTGATTATTCCTGATT